AGTGGGAAAATTAACTTTATATAATAAGATGCGGAACTATCGTTGAAAAAGAAGCGTTTGCTTAATGAATATATATACTTTTTTGTTATATACAGATTTGTTATTTGCATGTTAGCTAGTAGATTTGTTATCTCTGAAGCTTTATATGGATTAACACTCTTCTTCTTTCTTTTTTTTTAAGTTGAACACTATTTTTTAACCAAACCTACTAATTGTATATTTTGGATTTGTAAAAAAAAAATTCTTATTTTTTTCCTTACTAATTGTATAATTTGAATTTTCTAAAAAGTAATCTTATTTTATTTTATCTGGATTGTTTTATATCAGAAACATTGTTTTATTTATCAGAAACGAAAAAAAAATATACCTAAACCTCCTAATAATAAAAATATAGAATTTAGCGACATTTTTAAGCATCTGTCGGGCAAATCAAAGCAAAAATGTGAAAACATATATAGATTGAACTTATAATTCTTAATTTCTTAATATAGAAATATAAATTAAAATAATTGTGTATCACTATTTGTTTTAATTAGATCTTTTTGCTCTGGAGTTATGTTAGGCTCAAAATGCAAAGGAGAATAGAGGCAACAAAATGTTACATAGTGAGAGTGATGACAACTAAGGTTTCCATTATTTCATTTGTAGATAGGGGAAACTTTGAGTCATAAGAATCCACACTTCTACGTGGACAAAACCTAACCTATTGGTTCATCCATTTCCCACCATTTTTATAATCAGGTGGAGATATTGTTCAATCTTAAAGTTGTATCCGGCTATAAATGACAACAAATGCAGGGATAAGAAAAGAGGTCATACAAATATATCAAGTGGAGAGAATGGCCCGGTTGGATGGTTATTATACAGACCTGTGGGGATCCTGAGTCCTTTAGAGCTGCAGCGAAATTCTTTGAAAATTGGATCTCTGATACGCCTATGACCAAGTATTATAAGTGTTCTCTATACCTGCAAACCCAAATCAAGCGTAGCATAGACTTCATGATTACTCTTCATGTTGTTTCTTGTCTGCTCAGCTGCCAATAAAAATGTATAAAGTTCCTGTTGTAAACGGTAAAGTATATGACTTCATATATAGTTTTCAGTAATGAGACCTTGTCCTGCATCAATATACCTCATCGCCTAGGTATGAGAGATTCTATGGCTGTCAGCCTAGGTAGTTATGTCAACGTGAAATCAGGTTTGGGCCAAACATAATTTAAAGTACTGATGGGCCATTTATAAACAACAGCCCAATTATAGAATACGTAACTAACGTAAAGAAGTGTATTAGAAAAACTGACGTGGCATGTTTTGGTTAAGTGATTTTTTGATGTGGAGGACTCAAGAGGGAGGAAACTATCCTTTATATATATAGATTATGAAAGACTTGTTTGTAGACAACATTTATTATTTTTGTCTGCGGCTTCTTCCCTTTTATCAGTTATTAAAAATTTTAATCCAGATCTCGACTTTACTCTTGAAAATGCAACGTATAATTGGCTATGAGAGAACACTGGTCTAGGTAGAAACAGACCAACATTTTGCAGCGTTTGATCTAGACTTTTATTGATGGTCATCGCGAAAGTCAATGTAACTGGAAATTGTATTCGATGCATTCTAAAGGGAAATTTTGTGTCAGGTGGTGTGACAAACATTCGCGGGATCCAAACTTTCTCTCCAGCAATATCATTCCTAGTTATAACTCTACCTTCTATCACATGGGGCAATAACTGAGTAACAATTAGCTTGGTACCATTACATAATCCATCTGCAGCATCCAAGTTATGAAGTTACATGATAGAAACACCAACCTTGAGCTTCAAACAATGTCCAGACAGTCCAGCGACTTTAACACTATTAAAAAAATTCTGTAGGATATACCATGTTTTCTTCTATGTCAACATCGGATGGGATAATGCTGTCATAGCCAAGGTAAACCTTATCTTCGCTTGAAAGCATATGTAAATCATTTTATTTACTATCATGTAAATAATTACTGGAACATAATTAAGAGCTAATGATAAAACCTGTTACCTGACAACTGCGAAAACATGTAATTATTTTATCCACTTCATTACTATTAGTTTTTTGCAATCTATGATTTATTGTATCCACCATAAATATAATATTTTTAAAATCGTTTATATAATTGTTTATGTAGTATCATATGTATTTATATTTCTATAATACATTTATATAATGTACTATGATAATCAATTGTTTATTTAAATTTAAGATGTTTGATTGTTTATTTGGTAACATATATTAGATTAGGTAATTTTATGCTTAGTTTTCTTTTAAAATTTTGATTTAAGTAAATGAAAAAATCAAATACCAACTACCAATAAAATTAAGAGAATTAAACCTAAATTTCACCTATGAGTGACACTTAAGAAAAAACAATAAAGTGATTTCTCAATTAATATATAGTGAATTTTTTTGGCATTTTGAGCCAATGATATGCATATACATATAATAAAAGTACAAAAAGTAATCTAATTAATCATTTATTGTTGTCTAGGCGTGTGTATATATATATTTATATTTAAAATTACATTTTATTTTAGTTAATTATTGATATAAGTTTCAGTATACAGAAATTATCACATTATAATGTATATTTACATTATATAATTAAAATTAATTATAACAAAATAAAAAATATTTAAAAGCTAGTACCTACATATATCCCGTTTAATCTCTGATTTTTGGTAACGCTAGACCCGAGATTACCATCCGACTAGCGCCTAGCGTAGTCTCGAACAGAGCTTTTAAATACATACCAAGATGTCATAAAAAAACTAAAAAATATAAATGCTAAGAGAATATATTATTCATTAGAAGAACATATCTTTTAAGAAAAAGAAGAACATATTTTCTCATGTTATTTTTAAATTCTTGAGTCATAAGTAAATTGTGAAGCATAGAACACGTCTAAATTGTATATCTTGTTACGAAATATTTATTAAGATTTGGAACCCAAATTTGACTCTAAAACTAATTTAAAAAAAAAAAATCCTTAGAGTAAGCTCGCGTAACCTTGTAAAGTACTCGAAATATTCTTGGTGTTTAAGTACTACAAAAAATAATATGCTAGCTTGCTCGAAGCTCCATCCCACAACCCTTGGAAATGGGGTTTTGACACCTCCGTCCAACCCTATTGCTTATGTCGATCAACGAAATATACATTTGAAAGTCAAACTTCGATTTCGTGAGTCTAGGCTCCACAGCTCAACAAGATATCCAACTCAACAGGGTTTATAATATATGTTGGAATATTGTTTTTAGGTACGTAACGTCTGTGTGTCTGTGACGTGTTTCATGCAAATTAAGTTAAACTGCTGACCTACTAGAGCTGTTTGGAAATCCAGAATCGAAAGACCAAGCTGAACCAAGAGATATACTAAACTAAATCAAATAATTTATAATGCCCAAACGATCACTAGCTTGAATATTTAGAACCCTTGAATCAAAGTGGTATCGAACCGAAATTTGGATAAGACACTTCACTTTTTGAGATTTATACGGCTAAGTTTGCAGTTGTCTTGTGTCTCAGTTTCATTCATTGTCAACGAAATTCCTAACTTTTTTTTTTGCACCACGAAATTCCTACTTGTTTCTTTCACATAGTTGATGGAAACGAGGACAGTATTTTATCATGTGAAATTGAGGTGGTAGAACAAATTCCTGAATCTCAAATATATTTTGTTTGAAAAATCAAGTTCTTAAATTTTATATTTGTAAATATATCCTCTAAATTTTGGTTTATTATTTTAAAAGATACAGTAAAAATATACAGATAAAACTGTTACTCCTTCCATTACTCCCTCTGATTCAATTTAGTTGTTGTTGTAGAGTAAATTTTATGTTTCAAAATAAATATTATTTAATGATTTTAATGAAAAATCTATTAATTTCATATGCTATATTCTATTTTTTATTGGATGAAATGTATCTCTATAAGCAATGCTGTTTTTATTTAGAAAATATACAAAATTAATTGTTTTCTTAATTTATGGACATAAACCTAAAATGACAACTAAAAAAAAATAAAAAAAAATAGTTTTTAACACTACATCATTAGTTACAGCGTTAATATTTAAAAGAACATGTATAAAGACAGTTTGAGTCGGCACCGATGAAAACATGCAACGATCAATACACAACACACAACCAAAAAAATCAAATGAACTTTTATTAAATTTTGTTTTACAGATAATTTTGGTATAACTGGATTCATTTTTAGTTATGTGTAGTTTTAAAGGATTTAAAAGTTCATGTTAGTAATAGATATGTGTTGAAAAATCAATAAGCAAAAAGTTTGGGTGGGGGTGTAAGAGCGAAATAATTTTTAGAACTTCCTTATATTACAACAAACTTAAAACATTTTTTTTAACAAACTTAAAACATTAACTAACCTATTTTAGTTGAGTTGATATTTGAACTAGAATAAACTTTTTTGTATCACATGACGTACATATAATTATACAATCATCACTAAGAAAGTTTCTCACATTTTATTACCATTATCAACAAGTTTACCAATCTGGATAAAACACATTTTGAGTCGACTGCGATTCGAAATGTTGTTGCTCTTCATCATATTGCTCTCTTTGATAATTGGTTGTTAGACTAGAGTACTATACGTTTCCACCATAAACCCGGTCGAGAATCAAATATTGTGTCGCAACAAATATGGTGTTTATAACGAATAACCAACTGAATTCGATGTTGACCAACGAAAATATGAAATGCCCAATCCGAATCCGAACGGGTGTCCGTACGCCCACCCATATGGTTGATGTAAACATGTAACGGCAATACACAACACGCAATCAATGGAATCAAATCAAGGGAAAGTAGTTTAGAGAACTCATCTCTTATTACAACAAACATTACAAAAGAGTTATTTTTCAATTACTTTTTTTATTTTCATTAGAATAAACATTTTTGTATCACATGACATAACCTAAAATATTAATCATCATTAAGAAAATTTCTCACAGTTTATCTCCATGATCAACAACTTTACCCATTTCGACAAAACGCATTTTCTGAGTCGACTGCGGTTCAGAGTGTTGTTGCTCTTCATCATATTGTTCACTTTGATAATTGGTGGTTAGACTAGAGTACTCTACGTTTCTACCGTAATTTCGATCGAGAATTAAATATAGTGTCACAACAAATATTGTGTTTATAACGAATAACCAACTGAATGCGATGTTAACCAATGATTTAGCTCTGTGAAGAGCTTCTTCGGTTGAACACTTAACCCCTTTGTGTCTTTCTTCATCGTGAATAAAACATCCCTTAGGGATCAAACTCGGTGTGTAAAGCATGTAACCTATCATTATCAACCACATTCCTTGAAAAGCTATACTTGAGGATCTCACAAGGCTCACCAAAAAGCTCCTAGGCAAGGCAATACCTTAAGTAAAAATGAAACTATTAGTAGAATATATATATATATATATATGTGTGTGTGTGTGTGTGAAACATATTACGCTAAATGGTATCTATCAAAAATGTAATTTAATAAAACAAAACATACAAATTAAAAGATGAAAATTTGATATATATGTTAAAATAAATGTGTATATAGATATCTAATTTATTAAAATAGAGTCATATTTTTATCTACTGATAAAAGTCATTGAACCTTTTCATTAGTAATTTTTATTATATCAAAAATAATATTTAAATATTAGATCATTTGAATAAAATATACCATCACACATAAGAATATTCTACTATAACACTATTTATTTTTAATATTTGTTATTTTACTTTAACAAAATCTTATACAATTTTTTGATTATTAATTTTAAATAATGCATTAAATTCATAATTATTAGTAAAATATTACAAATAAATATTATTTAAATTTAAATCAAAACAATAATTAATTTTTATAATATATTATTTAATTCCTAAAGTTAAATATAACAATTATTAAAATTAAGTTTAGTAAAAATAAATTAGGAAAAGTAAAAACAAATATTATTGAATTATATGATTTTTTTAGTTTACAGTTGATGTTTTCTGTTTGTAAATTAAATTAAAAAAAATATAACTTATTTAAATAACAAAATCACAAAAATAAACTTTGACCCATAAGAAATATAAAAAAAATCTAATCCATTTTCATTAGAAAATATCAAAAACTTAACAAAACGGGTTAAGCAAATAAACTATTCTAATTTGATTCTTATATAATTATATTTATTTTAAATTTAAATAAATATATTAAAATAAAAATAGATTATATATTAAGATATGTTTTAATAAAAATGAATAAAATATATACTATATTAATAATATTGAGAAAATACATATTAAGTTACATAATATAAAACACCAAATTATCATTATATATTTGATCAATTTGTCATAAAAAAATTAAATATAAATCATTATAAAAATAAAAACATATCCGTGCGGACGCGCGGATTAAAATCTAGTTATCCTTGTAGGATTGGTGAAACTAACAAGAAATCAAATAATTTTTTATATTGATTATAACCGTCTCAGAACAACATACCCATGAGAGTGGTGAGGAGAGAGACAAAGATAATGAGCTGGAGGATCAAATGGTATTGTCCCTCAACGCCCATGTGGTCGGCAGAGTGAAAATGGAAGAGAAGTAGCTGCTGAGTGAAGGCAGCGGTAGCAGCTAGGATGGTTAGCCCCTCAGCAGCCGCAGCTCTAGGCCTTTCTCGGTCAAGCACTAGTGCGCAAAAAGCATAAACAAAGAAGGACATGGAGATTGAAGAATGTTCAAAGTTGTGGAGGTGGTTCGATGGGATGGTGCCATCTGAGTCAAAGGGGTGATGTCTTCTAGGTCCAATGAAGAGCTCCATTGAGATGGAAGCAGATGTAGAGAACATGATTAAGTACAGTTCTAAGTACCTGACCTTTGATGTTGGAAACCATGAAGATGACATGAATGTGTTTGGACGTAGACAAAAGAGTTTTATGTTGTTGAATAAGTGCCATAAGCCAAGTATTAAGAAGGCAAAACCTGGTAAAACATGTCCCACAAGTGATCCCATGTTGGGAATTTATGTCTTAGGTGATCTTTGGTTTGTGTGTTAGAGAGATAGAAAGGTTAAGGAGCTTCTGTTGTGAACAAAAATCATCGATGAGTTTATCGGTTAAATAGAAAGTTTGACGTTTGAGGATTTGGCTTATAGATTAAGGCTTTGCTCCCAGACTATGATTGATTTGACTTTAGGGAGGTTAACTAAATCACGCTTGTAATCCTAAGTTTAACACGCCAGTCTGGCCTGGCTTTTCTATATAAGCGATACAACTTGTTCAGATCTATGCGAAAGAAAAATAATTTGCAAATAAATTAAGCCAAAATCGATAGACAGAATTGTCTTCAGAAATTATGAGAGATGCAGGAAGAATTATGTGTAAAATTAAACTAGTTAATGCCGCGTACTGTATATAGGGTTAGTTCGTACGTTTATTTGGAAAGTTAAAAATGCGAATTTTAGAAAAATATTTGGAAAAGACAGAATTCTAAGCTCTATCAAATTTCAAACAGTTTTTAAAAGTTGATGTTGCTTGTTGCAAGTTTTCTTTGTTCATATATACTAGTATGGAATAATCTAGGCAATTGAACAATCATCGTTCTTAGTTTTCAAATTAATGCCGTGACTCTTAATCTCAGATAATGAAAACTAAATTTTGTATATAATCATTATTTAGTTGACCAATGGCTTAATATAAAGAGTATGCTATTTATTGAATTTAAATTAGAACAAAACTTAAGTTTACCTCCTATAGTCACTTTTAAATTCACCTCACCTCTAATAACCACTCATTGTATCACATAGATTAATGAATAAAAAATATTGAATATTAAAAAAAAAAAGAAGACTAAAATAGTTTATAAAAACAATAACGTCAATTTTAACGATGTTAACACTGTCAGCTAAACTTTAAATCCAAACCGTAATCCTAAACCCTATCTAAACTCTAAACCCTTAGAAAACGTGACCGAGTTTATCCTAGTTATTCTTCGGGACGGAGTGGAAGAAGGGAGGAGATTCACGAACGAGGAAAGGGACCCAATGACTTCGAAAGAATTGAACAGGAGCCGTATGAGGTGAAAATCTCATGTCCGGTTCTGTAGAGTGGCAGTAAGGGTGATTTATCTGTCAACTTTTCCACTATCACCCCCAAAAAACCAAACTCATATCATATACCCTAAAACCCAAATTTTGACACTAAACCCGAATCCTATACCCTAAATCAAAATCCTATACCCTAAAACCTAAATTCTAGACTCTAAACCAAAACTTTATACCCTAAATCCAATCCCTAGACTAGACCCTAAATTATAAACCCAAACCTTAGATCCTACACTCAAATTCTATACCATAAATCTAAACCCTATACCTTAAATTCAAAGCCAAACTGTAAATCCTAAACCCAAATCTTATATCCTAAATATTTGGATTAATTTTGATATTGTTCTTTTCGAATTTAAGGTTAAGATTTAAGGTTTGAATTTATAATTTACGGTTTAGGTTTATGATTTATGGTTTAGAACTTGGATTTAGACTCTACGGTTTTAACTCAGGGTCTAAAGTCTGGGTTTAGGATTTAGGGTTTAAAATTTAAGGTTTAGAATTTAGGGTCTAGGGTTTGGATTTAGGGTATAAAGTTTTGGTTTATGGTCTAGGGTTTAGATTTTAGGGTATATAGTTTAGATTTATGGTATAGGATTCAGATTTAGGATATAGGTTTGGGTTTAGGGTATAGGGTTTGGATTTAGGGTATAGATTTTTGTTTGGGGTTATAATTTGGATTTTGAGTTTAGCTAGCGGTATTAGCATTATTAAAATTAATGTTATTTTTTTTTATGTAGCTATTTTGATTTTTTTAAAAATGTTTAATAATTTTTATTCATTAACTAGGGTAAACCCGCCCTACGGGCGGGTGAATATATAAAAATAATAATATAAATTTACTTTAAAATTGTAATTTATTTTATTTAAAATAGTATTAACTTTCATAATATTTTCACACAATATTAACTTTATTTATTATTAAATTTTAGAGGTTATGTCCTTACTAATTATAATATAATTTTATATTTTGTTATATATTTTTATTTGAAAACAGTTGGTTATATATTATGTATGAATTATTATTTTTATGATCTCTTATTTTTATTTCAATCTTTCATTTTAGGTTTAAAATGTTTGATGTTAGGATATTCAACTTCCATCTCATTGCAATTAACTAAATTTTGTAGTTTGACTGTTGAGATAATTTTAATGAGGATATGTCCTATCTTATTTTTCTAGATAGATCTTTTGATATGCATGTTTTATTTAGGTTATCTACTCTTATAAATTTTACTCTTTTATTTTCATTGACATCATATTCTTTAATGTGTCTCTTGTTAATACCATGAACATATTTATTTTCAGATAAATATTGAAATTAAGTTTGATGTTTCTTTTGCGATTCGTGATGTAACATTTCTAAATAAATTTATTAAGAGATAAAAAAAAAAATTTACTCTCTTTTTTATATCATGAAATTATTTTTTCATTTTTTATCTTTTTTTCTTAAGTTTATTGTATTTTTCATTTGTTTTGATAATGTGTAAATTATTTGTTGTGTTTTTTAAGTATCTTAATAATTTTCCTTAACTTAAGTTCAATGATTAAAAAGAGAAAAAATAGTTTAAAAAAAAAATTGTTGACACGATAAAGTTAATGTATTCTCCTAATTGGTTTTCTTATAATTTTTCGTACTATTTTTATAAATTTATATTTCTTTATTATGTATGAAGAAGATGAACACACAGATTTATATATTCCAATATATATATATATATATATATATATATATATATATATATATATATTATTTATGTGTAGTACTTTGCTTGTGTGTTTTAATGTTTGTAATATATTTTATTACTATTGTAATAGGTAAAGCTAAATACTCATTACTTTAAATTGAGCTAAATTATATCTGTTATTCAAAAACAAATTTCAAAAAAGTAAATAAACCAACTTTCAAAATGTTGTATGAGTTAAATACACTAAAACTTCTATGAAAAATATTATTATTTACTATATTATTTGTTAAACTATAAACAGAGAAAAATATATTACAGTCTTACTATAGTTAAAAATATAATTCTGGACTAAAAGAGGATGAACACACAGATTTATATATTTCAGTAGGTATATATATATATATTATTTATGTTATATTTATGTTTAGTACTTTGCTTGTTTGTTTTTAGTGTTTGTAATATATTTTATTACTATTGTAATAGGTAAAACTTTAAATAGAGCTAAATTATATCTTTTATTTAAAAACAAATTTCAAAAAAGTAAATAAAACAACTTTCAAAATGTTGTATGAGTTAAACACACTAAAACTTCTATGAAAAATATTACTACTTTGTTAAACTATAAACAGAGAAAAATATATTACAATCTAACTATAGTTAAAATATAATTCTAGACTAAAAGATAATTAAGATATTCACAACGATATACACAACTTATAATCAGGGTATTACATTATTATTAAAAATACAATATCAATTTTGGATTAAAAGATAATCATGATATTGTCAATAGATATGAGATATGCACAATATTAAATTTTTTTATAATTACTATCTTTTAAAAATACCAATCAGGGTATTAAATTGTTATTAAAATATAATATTATATATTTTCTAACTGAATTTTTGACTTTTATATTTTCTTTACAATATTAAGTATTAATGCATCAGTTTATTGGTTTACGTGAATTGTGAATATATTTTCAGTCTAACATAATGAGCAAAAATATTTTTTTTTTCATTTTTTCACTAATATTAAAAATTTAAAATATAATTATTTCTAATTCCATATAGCATCCTTGTTTTTTTCTTTTCTTTTTATTTTTTGTGATTTAGAGGATTAGTTTTATGTTTGTTTGTTAAACTTCATAAACTTTTGGTGAACAATTTATTTTTGTTTGTATTATTGAATGGACATCGATTAATTTTTAAAACCAAAGCCTGTAGTCGATTTCATCTTTCGCGAGTTGTGGTTGGCAACTCAGTCTCATCTCCTCCATCATAAAATGCGGAGGAGCTTTCTGTTGGAAATTTAGTCGGTACCTCCTCTACAGAAGCCGGAGTAGGCTTTGGAATCTCCAAAACAGTTTCAGAAACAGGACCAGAAGCGAGTATTGATGTACCGTTGTCGAACGAAACTCGAGTGGCAGAGATAAGAGAAGAGAGAATGAGACTTTGGGATAAGATTAGTTTTTTGAGGTGAAGAAACGAAATGAACGACATCTCGGTCCGAAGATTAGCCATGAATATTCGCTTACCATAATCTTTCTGAGATTTCATGGTCAGTTTATAGAAGTAGAGGCTGAAGAACATAAACCTCATAAATAAAAGTCACTCAAAACGAAACGTATGACTTTCACGGTTCCATCAGCCCACTTAATGAACATCTAAATCCCATTCAATAAAACCTATAAAGCCCAGTTAGAATCCAAACGAATGGTAAAAAAACAGAGTATTAGACACATGTGTCTTTGTTAAAAAAAAGGACACATGTCATGCTAGGAGTACATGAATTAGTGACATGGCAGCCTTATGTGAGGGAAAACCTTACTTTATATATATATACTAGAATCGGTCCGCGCTACGCGCGGAATGTGATTTACGTGTGATGTATGTAACTATGTAATTGTAAATTTTCTTTGAGTGTTTTTATATAAGTTGTTGTAAGAAAAGTTAACTTTATGGTTGTTAAAAATGTTAAGGTGTGAAAGGATTACGGATTATGGATGACGTGTAGGTGGTATTTGTCGTTTGTTTTTCGGTAGTTATGAATCCATAATCGGTTTGTTAATTATGAGTTGCGATATTTTGAACTCTCAAGTTGTGGTTCTCATGATTTATCATTTGAATTAATGGATTGGCCATTACATAACTGTGTTTCGTTAGGTTTTATGTTAGACTAAAAATGATATTGAAGATCTGAATAAAATAATGAAAGTATTAATCAATTTTTATATTATAAATTAAAACTTAAATGTGTAGTTAATCAGTTAGGCA